GGGGGGGGGGGGGGGATTTTTCAAATACCCCCATAGGTTCAGATATATGTCAAAATGTCCATAAAAGATATGGGCACAGTGGAATGGCCTTTTGGGCTGACATATTTGTGTTATGCCTCCGGTAGGGGTACATTGCAAAGATGGGGTCCAACTGGTGGCTAGGGTGTTTCGCAAAATGTTTTTGTCATCGTCTTTCGCCGCACTGTAGCTGCAGCAGGTCCAGTTGTATCTCTAATATCAATAAGATGGTGATCCGTTCATCAATTAAAATTTAAAATGAGTTTAATGAACTAGGCTAATTAGTAGGCAGTACTAGGCACTGGTTACTAAACATTTATTAATAATTATGCGTTTTTTAGTGCGTAAGTAGCATTATATATCACTGCAGTCACATGCATTAAACAAAGAGGACGCAATTCCGTGCTGGAGTTCTTGCCAGGCTTTTTTTTTTTTGTTTTTATAACACTCCCAGCCCCTTCTATTATGGGGGGGGCATCAGTCCGGTTGCCTATCACAGGCAAGCAAAGTTTTTGAAAAATTTTGAAACAAGCAGAGGGGAAGATCAGACAGGAAAGAGAGGCAGCCTACCGTTGTGGCTCGAGCCGCCTGTTCAAGGGGGGGTTGCTACAGCGCCATCCACTCCCCTTGCCAGGATATTTAAAAGTTTTTTTTGTTTTTGTTTTTCAGGAGGATGGGGCGCAGTTTCCAGCGTTTTTATTGTAATAATTCTTTGGCCCAGGTATCGCTTCCGGCCAATAGATCAGCAATGTGGTTATCCAATTATGACAAGAGGGCCCGTCTCCTCTCCCAAAAGCCGAATGGTGCTATGGCTATTATGGAAAATCATAATTACAATTACAATTACCATTACAATTACAATTACCATTCCAATTACAAATTTACAATTATAGTTACAAATTACAATTACAATTACAGTTACAATCAGGGTAGCCAGGCCGGACGTACGGAGGCCCCTAAGCTGACCCCCGAACGTTCGGGCGTTCGGGTCCCCGTACGGGCCCCCAACTTGAAGGGGGTTCGGACCCCGCAAAAAAATATTTTGGCACTTAAATATTACTATTTTTTTCTGAATTGTTTTTTGTGTGTTCTTTGTGATGTGAGGTATCTCCCTCTGAATTTTGAAGCGATTCTGTTGAGCCAAACAAAAATGAAAAATCCTCAAAGATGGTGGTGTCAAAACATGCTTGCCCACTCACTAATTTATTTCTTCTCTATTTTCACTTTTTGTTTTTCCTTTATTTCGGGGCATGAAACAAATTATTATTTTTTCAAAATTTATTTATAGATTCTCAATTATGTAAGATACACATATATAAATTTTCATGGTATTTGTCACAGCCAAACAAAAATGAAAAATCGCCAAAGATGGCGGTGTCAAAAACGTGCTCGGCCACTTAATAATTTCATTCTCGTTTTATTGTATTTTATTTTCATTATTTTTATTTAGTTTTAGTATTTGATTTTTATTTCAAATTTGGTAAAGAATTTGGATGTAAGGTTGAGGCAAAAGTTGCTTAGTTTATTCTTCTGCATAACATATACTTTTTTCAGATTTTTTGGATTTGTTTTTTTTTTTTTTTTTTTTTTTTTTTTTTT